AGGGGGCTTTTCCAGGGGTCCCTCCTAGAAAAGCACCTTGCCCCCATGCCGATGACCATGTTCTGCTGAACCGAAGGTAGCCGAAATCAGCCGTACTCAGCTGAAATGAATAGCCAAATAGAGTTCAACTCCCTTCACTTTGGCTCGGTTATTTATTCGGCAGCTTATTGAATAACCCCCTTAGTGTCTGTTATCAGTGGATTAGCAAACTGTTTCTATGGGCTTGTAGGGGCTCCAGTGGAGATTTCTGCTATGACAATGTCATAACTAGATGCTACTAGTTTAGATAAATAGGACATGTAGTTATTCATAATGGTACATCATCAGATATTGCAAAGTTTGTGACAGTGGTGTACAACAGAGCAAGGTCTGGTAAACACTTTGTTTAAAGTAACCCTATTTTTTTCCCTTACAGCACCTAGACAGTAAATGGATATCTTCCTCCAAAGAAATTATAGCTTTCCGCAAAGCATTACTGAACCCCATCACTGCAGGCCAGTTCCAGCGTTTCATATCTCTTAAGGGAGATTTCTTTGAAAATGGACTGCTGTTTTGGCAGGAGGTGCAAAAATATAAGGTATGTCTGTTAAGTCTGCAGTTTGATAAACATTTATCATTTCTAGAGACTCGACTTAATCATTTTACATTTTAAAACAACCTTCAACCTTGTGTGCATTTTAACTGAATAAAATCAAGGTGTAAATAACAGATGTACCTAGACCTGTTAGCCAGCTCTCAGAGCATTAGTAGATTGATGCTCAATTGGTGCACCAGATATAAACTGAGCTATGTCTCAGTCTGTCAACAGGGACATGCACAAGCAGGCCTGTATTGTGCGTTTGTGTTCTCCTTAGACACATGGGGTCAGAAAATTAAGACCATTTGATGGACTTTTCCCCTAATATCTATCAGCCATTTGCAGAAGTCCAAAGGTGGCAACTTTAAACAGTTTTATGTTGATCTTGTCAAAATATTCGAGATTAGGCAACAACTGTCTTATGTCTTATAGACTAGTGGTTCTCAACTTGTGTAACCTCAGGACCCACATTTGTCCTTGGACATTAAGTGCAGACTCAAGTCACACTGCAATGGAACTGCATTGCGGTACCGTGCATTCCGGTGCAGGCGATCCGTGTGATCCTCAGCTTGGGGTCCAGTGCTGGGCTGCTGTGCTGTAACGGAGCTCCATCTATACATGCATTGCTTGTACAACTTCCTTGTGCGCCCTGTAGAGGTGCCGGGAGCCAGAATGTGACGTCACTCCGGTCTAGGCACCTCTACAGGTCACATGAGCAATGCATGTATGGATGAAGCTCCCTCACGGCCATAGCTTCAGCCCACCCACCCCACCTCAAGCTGACACTTAGCACCAGGCAGCATATTCTGAATTGCTGCTCAACGCAAGAACTGATATTGCTATGCTAGGGGGAGGCTGAGGAGCCTCTCACAATTCACTGCTGGCCTACTTATCACTGAGGGTACAATGATGATGGCTCATAAGCTTGTTATGCATTTATGAAGAATCCCATTTTACAACAAATCCCATTTTAAGCAAATCTTATTCACTTTGCAACAAGAAATTAACCTAAAGATTCCATATCAATAGGTCCAAGATATGTTGCAAGTACAAGCAATATTCTTTTGTGACATCCTTACCTTTCTTCTAAGATAAATTATGGACCACATGTCTCTTCCAAGGCTAGGTTAAGTTGGCCACCATTTTCTTAGTAAGTGTGTGATAGGGATAGATCACAGCGACACTTTATTATTGACATGGAGGGAAATTTCACTGATTTTGTTGTCACATGTAATACAAATACAATATCCTTTTGAAAAGTGGAAACTGAAAAATATCTTACATTGTGCTGTTAAAGGGACAGAGTCTGGGTCTATAAAGTTATTGTACCAAACCGGTCTAGAAAAGTTTTAGTGTCTACAAGGTCATTTTGTCCCTCATTGTCTTTCAAGGCTGCACTGGCTCTGTCCTCCCTTCCTGGCTCTGTCAATTCCAGTGAAAGTCCTCTGACACTTGCTATATGAAGTCAGGACAGAATTGAGAGTGCAAACCTTGGTACTAGGATACTGGATTATTCACATTTTACATTCACTTCCTACATTCTTTACTAGGTTCAATCGAAATAACTTTTTATCCTAAAGAATGCTTTTATATCATTGTTGGCCGTTACCTGTCTTACAGGAACTTTGTCATTCCCATTGTGATGATGCTACAATCCAAAGCAAGATCACTGCTATCATCAACTGTTTTATCAATTCCTCCATCCCTCCAGCATTGCAGATAGACATTCCTCCAGAGCAAGCGGAAAAGATTATAGAACGACGTAGGGATCTGGGGCCTTATGTGTTTCGGGAAGCACAGGTCAGTTTATAATAAATTCATCTTACCCATTCTCATTGTTACATTCACTATTGAATAAATAAATAAATACATAAACAGAGATCTGCGCTTCTATCTGAAATGAGCAGGTGTGCAAAAAATGAAATATTTCATCCAAATAATAAATTAAATAAATATTACACCGTGCTAAAAATATGACAGAATTTTTTCTTCTTTTGTTAATTTTCTTTATTAATATCTATTTATTATTTGTTTTTATAAAGGAATATCATGTATCTATATGTTAAAATTCATGGAATTTTTGGGAAAATCACTGAGGCATATTTATTTTTATTATTATTATTTTTTTACTTTACTGTTAGGGGCTTTAGTGAAATATCAGGGGTCTAGACCCTACTACAGACCCCTGATATTACCTTTTTGAAGTAGAAAAAGAGATTGAGGACACAGAGTCCTAAATCTCTTTTTCTGCAGCCCTGTTATGAATGAACAGGAAGCCTCCATACTGAGTGTTCCGGTCCATTCATAAACTGTGGAGATAGTATCAGTTACTATATCCACAATTGTGAAAGAACAGGAAGTGATGTAGAGCACTTCCTATTCATTCATAATTGGTTACGCAGTAAGCTTACTATGTCCTCTATTATTTACAGACACTCAACAATCAGCTGATCACTGAGTAACTGCTCTGCATCCTAATTTGCTTGTTACAGGAAGCCAAGCGGGGCGGTGCTGGAGGAGAGCTTAGCCTCCTGTGATAACACTGACAGCGCTCTCCTCCCCGCCCTGCTCTGCCTCCTGAAAGTTTCTCTCCTTCCCGCTGGGCGCTGCTCTGTGTCAGAAGGGACACAGAGCAGCGCCCAGTGGAGAGGAGAGAAACTAGAGATGCACCATATTTTCGGCCAAAAATTGTACTTTCTGCATTTTGCCCAAAGTACCATTTTCGTCCGAAATCGGCAGCTGAAATTTCGGTGCATCCCTAATTTATACCATTTCACCTTATATAGAGTAGAGGCTTTTAGGTGGCTTTAAGGAGCCAGAGAAGAATAAAGAGGGAAGTAAACGTGTCAGTTACACATAAGAGTGGCTACTAAAACTATACCTTTTTGTATGTGTTATAAAGAATTATTGCACCTACTGTCAAAAGAGGAAAAAATGGATTCCTCCCAAAGGATGGTGCCTTGTGTGACCACTCAGTACATGATTAAGGGCAGTTAGTTTCTCTTGCACAGTTGATTCCTGAAACCAATAGATAATGATGTCCAATTAAGCCTATAGGTGGTGTCACAAGAGAAATATTTAACTTTGGTGGTTTGATCAACAAGGTGTACAGTTTTCCACTCTATTTCAGTCAAAATATAAAAAAATAAATATCCTGGTGTGTTAACTCTGTAAATTGAGCCAGTTCAATCAGGACTTTAGAGTAGCTAAGGCCATTAGACCACAATGATTACTGTAGCTCAGTGTGTATTTTCACACCTAGATGACAATCTTCAGCATCATGTTCAAGTTTTGGCCTGAGTTCTGTGAATTTCGGAGACAACTGACTGATGAGAAGATTGTACCTCTGCTGGAGAGAAAGAAGGCAAAGAAAACACAGCAGATGAAACAGAAGATGAGAGAACAAGAGATGCTCGCCAAGGTAAGAGGACTCTGAATAATCTTTCCTGTGTGCTTATAATGCAGAGGAAGGATTTAGCCTTTTCATGACTAAAGGGACCAGATACCCAGGCCAAATTAAAAAAAAGAAAAGTAGCAGCATCAGCAGGTGTCGCTTAACCTAAAGGAGAACTATGGGGTAACCTTTTTTCCCATAGTTCTCTTAAGGTCACGGGAGGACATATACTAACATCCTCCTGTGACCCAAAACTCTGTATATAGCAGGCTGCCACAGCCGGGGCGGATCCCGGCAATACTGTCGAGATCAACCACGCTG